GAGGTTTTAAAGTTATATTGCAGTCAAATATGGTTACCAAGCCATTGAAATTTTCAAATAAGGTCCTAATTAGATAGAAACCATTTGATCTATTAAATTTGTCATAAATGCTGTTAATTCTAATTAGTTAAATGTCCAAAATGATCCATAACTTTTCCATATTATCTTTCAATAACATAAAATCTTTAAATAACCTCAAAATGCCGCTTAAATAGCAAATTTAACAATTTCCATCCAATTGAAATCTTATTTGGGAATTTTGATGACTTTGGAACCTTGATTTGAGTGCAATAGAACTTTAGGGTCTCAATTGTGAATTTAGTTTGGGACCATCCCTAAATTGAGCTTTAGTTCCTTGCATTTTCAACATTCTGCGTAACCTTTCAACTTGTCTTCAACTTTAGGTATATTCTGTGAATTCTCTTCAAAACTTTTGGGTTTATACAATTAAAATCAAAAACCTATGATACACAAAGCCAAATAGAAAACACATGTTTTCAAAGAGTGGAGTAAATGGTTAGGTTATACCGAATACTGAATTTCTTTTTATTTCTTTATGAACTTTTCCAGAACTTGTATTCATGAAGGCAAATATAGAATTCTTAGAAACAGATATATTATATATAAAGAATTTTTATCTCATCTCTATTCTCAATCATTGAACTTAAAACCTACATACTCTAATTTTTTATAGTAAAATTTAGGAAATTTTGTATAAAATAAACAAAACCTTATGTGATAAAGTGATTAAAACCAAAAAAAAAAAAAAAGGGGGGGGAAAAAAAAACGAAACGTACAAAAATCTTGTCAAGAATCTTGCATAGGAGATACGAGGTTTTTTCTTTTGATTTGTAAATATCTGAAATTTTACCAAAATTCCATTGACATGGGCTAAATATTGCACCATTTTTTTTTTTTTTGGACCGTCCAGCTAAATGTTGCATATATATATACTTTGACAAGAATGAGCTCAGGTGATTTTCATTATTTAAGCAATCTGATAACATTACAAAATATTGTCATTATATGAGAAAAAACTAAAACTATGATATCAAAATTTGCATAATTGAATGGAGTATGGTGTATGACGTATTCTAAAAGGAAAATAATTGGTATACTATTTAATTTAATATACTTTTCAACTCTTATTCGGTTTAATCATTAAAATATAACATAAATACAATTGATTTAGTTAGTGTATATTGTATATGTCATGCCCCAACCTCAAGGTCAAGATATGACAAATGCCACACATCTATAGGGATGACCCCATAAATGTGTAAGGCTACCTCAACTAAACAATTTTTAATATCCAAATGCAATAAAGTTAAATTTTTTAAGAAGCTCTATCTCTATTAACATGTACAAGTAGTTGGTCAAATCCAAAACACCTAATACTCACTTCATAAAATCCGACATAAAATCTTATAGAAATAAGTCATAGCAAATAGGTCTTCATTTCTAAATATTCCAAAATCCAAAAATAACTTAAACTAAACCAAGAAACTACTCTAAGACTGTTGCGTCTCTCACTCCCAAATCCAACCCCAAATGCTCACTCTTCTATACCTGAAATGAGATGAGATTTTAAAAGCATAAGCTAGATAGTTTAGTAAGAGTATACCCATCTAGTTCGATCAAGCATTATATTTCAATGAAAATAATAATTAATAAAGTAAACAACTTTACAGTAAGGAAACCACATTCTAAACTAGATGAAAAGAAACCTACAATTACAAGTTCTTTAGGCTGCATCACACTTCACATTACACTCTATGATAAATAGATCCTGAGACTATTATTAATACCTGCAGTATACCCCTAAGGAACGAGTTAAATTAACCAGCTAACCAGGAACATAGAAACCAAGTGTTAAAAAATATATATATTTCCAATTTAATAAACCCCACTCTTTGATAGAAAACAATCCACACTCAAAATGCTTGATCAACTTTCATCTCATTTCATTATAAAATATTCTTATTTTTAAGACATAGTAACCAAATAAGATTATATAAAATATGCTGAAAAAGGTAAAATAAATTTTAATAAAACAAACCTTTTAAAAGAATACTAGAGGGTATAACAACTTACCTTGAATAATTAATCAATTTCCACTCAAAATAGCCTCTTGAATTATTTAAAACTTTTGTACTATCTTCTTTGTTAGAATTGGAAGGATCTACAAATCGCAAGTCATTTTGTTAGAATCGAATCTGACAAAAAATAGTGTCTCAAAAATTCCCTCAATTTCTCTTCCAATTCACATTCTTAATTATTAAATTAAATCTAATAACAAATCTAGCACATAATTAGAAAACTTAAGGCAAAATTCCCTCAATTCAAATAATCCGGCAACTACAGGACAGAGCCCCTTTCTATTTGTTTTCAAAAGTGGCCGGTGGCATTTTAGAAGTTCTGCAAAACACCTAGCACCGTTTCCTATATAGGCTTTAGTAAAAATGTTTATAATTCTTTGGTTAGTCCTTCTACTCTTGATTCCTTTATAGTTAAACCCCTTAATTCCATCTCCTTACATTTAAATCCTTTAAGGGCTTAAATAAAATTATTTAAAAGTTATAAAATAAAATAAAATAAATACCGGGTATTACACTACACATAGTTGCATTTTTAAATTTGTTTACTTTTAATTTCAAATAATGATATAATGATTTTTTACCAAATGTATTGTACAGTATGTTGAATTCGAGTGTATATCAATCACTGTCCATCAACATAACAAGGGTAATGATATGGAGACAATTTTTTAATATAATTTTTATATGTTATTAAATAAATGAATGCATACAATATCATTAATCTTAGTAAAGTTAAAAAATTAATTATTAAATGACTCATAAAGTTATAAAAAAATCATATAAAAAAATTGTCTTTAAATCATTTTTTGCTTAATAACTTCATCATCATCAAAATAACACTAAAACGTAATAGAATCATGTGATGGCACATAACTTTTGTTGTGAAATTTTGAGCTTTTAATGGATTTTAAAAAGTAAAGGGTGTTGATTTGAGGAAAATTTACTTAGTGTGTTGAATGGAAATAATAATAATAATAATAATAATAATAAGGTTAAATATCTTTTTTGGTCCCTCTACTATAGGAAAAAACCCTTTTTTAGTCCCTGTCCTTACTGTTCACAAATCCAGCCCCTTTTTAGTCCTTCCGTTAATTTTTGCTTACGTGGCACCATTAACTTAATTGAAATAGTTCATGTGGGTATGCCAACATGTAAAAAATGTTTACGTGGACTTATGACACCCACCACGTCCTTCGGCCTTTTTTTTTTTTTCTTCTTTTTTTCCTTTTACCTCCAGGCGAACCCAAGAGCCTGGGTTCGCGAGGAACCCAGCTCGCAGGTTTGCAATGAACCCAGATGCCTAGGTTCAAGACGAACCCAGCTCCTGGGTTCGCCTGGAGGTAAAAGAAAAGAAAAGAACCCAGGTGCCTGAAGGTAAGTTGTTCCAATCTTTCCAGGTGTCCTGAAAAATGTTATTGCAAGCAACACCATAAATCTATCAGCAAAGCTAGAATGTTCTGAGCCATTAGAAAGATTGGGTTTGTCGTGATCCCAGAAGCTGGGTTCATTGCGTACCGTTGCATACCCATGAGTAATGCATTTGTTCAACCAAAAGGACTAAAACTCATCTCAGGAACCAACAAAACCTATTCAACTTCCTTCTTGGAAGAACCTGTTAAAAACAGTTAATTAACGCAAGTCTTGGTGCTCAATTGATCACAGAATCATTTAACCAAATCAATCCAATCTTACCAACTAACATTTTTCCCTGCTTGAAGTGCCACAAATTACCACAAGAAGACCATGTATCGAACCCAAGAGCCTGGGTTCATGACTGGGTTCATGACGAACCCAAACGACTGGGTTCACGACAAACCTAGGAGTTGGGTTCGTCACGAATCAACACTCCTGGTTTGTTGCGAACCCACGAGCAGGGTTCATCGCGACAAACCTAGCCTGGATTCGTAACGAACCTAGCCTGGGTTTGCAATGAATCCAGCTCGTGGGTTCGCGATGGTGAACCCAGGCTCGTGGGTTCGTCGTGAACCCAGCTTGTGGGTTCGCGATGAACCCAGGTTCTTGGGTTCGCGACGAACCCAGGCTCTTGGGTTCGCGACGAACCCAGGCTCTTGGGTTCGCGACGAACCCAGGCTCTTGGGTTCGCCTAAATGTAAGAAACAAAAGGAAAAAAAAAGGAGAAAAAAAAAGGCTGAAGGAAGGAGAGGATGGGGGAAGAAAATGAGGGCAAATTGGTAATTAAAAATAAAAAATTTGGCCATGTTATCGAGTTTTGCCAGATGGATTTCACACGTAATTTAAGTAAATTTAACCTAAAGAAAAAAATAAAATTTTTCATTAATTAACCTACCACATCAGCCAAAATTTAACGGAAGGACTAAAAAGGGACCGGATTTGTGAACAGTAAGGACCAAAAAAGGGATTTTTTCAATACAGGGACTAAAAAAGAGCTTTTTCCTATAGTAGAGGGACCAAAAAAGGTATTTAACCTAATAATAATAATATACAAAATAAAAATGAGGGGTTTAGCTTGAAATAATGACATATATATATGACTTGAGATCCATTAACATATAAATTTATATACTATATTTATACAAAATCTCTATTATTGAAAGTGAAAAAATAAATTATCAAGATTTTGTATAAATATAATTTATAACATTTGTACGTGAATAAATACCTTTTATATATATACATATATATATTCAGTTATGGCAACAATTAATTATAAAAAAAACCGTAGTGAATAAAATAGCCATTTAGAATGGGAATTCCGAGCTTCTTCATCCACCCAAAGTCTACATATCAATACAAGATTAGAACCAAATGGGACCGAATAACATAATTTAACCGTGTAGGGTCAGCTTGCAGAAAATGCAACGACAATCAGAAATTTGGTCGGCAATACGGCCTTATAAATAGTCCTTAAACCCATAACAAAGGTTACACCACTACACCCTCTTGGCTCTCATGAAAATGGAAGCTAAATCTTCACTTTATGCTTTCATCTTGATCTTTGGCCTTCTACTTACGCATGGAATCACTGAAGTTGTTTCTGGGTCTTCCCTAGATGCAGTTCCTTCTCATTTTCCCTACAAATTTAAGGTAGCGTCTAACAAGTACGAAGGTAAATTACTACGACCACCCCAGCCCAAATATACCTCCTAGGCAACGTCATCCGGGTCGACCTCCTCGTCCTTTTCGGCAGATTCCTCCAACAACACTGTCCCGCTCCTCACTGAATCCTCCATTTCACTTCAAAAGTCCTCCTTCTAATTAATTAGTTTTCTCCACCACCACGGTCCCGTTGACCGCCATCTCGGCCACAGTACGTCTTCGCTAGGTCCTCGCTCATTTTAGTATGCTTGCTTTTATTTTAATATGGAATGTACCTTTTATTATTATTATTATTATTATTACTATTATGATTATTTTCAATTTATTTATCCTGTGTTCTGAGTAATGGAGATTTCTTACAGTAACGGAAATTGAGGAAGAAGGGGAAAATGGCATATTTTGTAAATTTAAAGTTCAATGAAGTGCTATTAGGAAAAAGATTAGTTTGAAGTGGAAACCACCAGCCATCTCATCAAAAAAGCCATAAAAATCCATAAAAATCCATATTAACGTAGGAAATGCACTACTAAAAAGTTGGCCATTTTGGTGCATAGTATTTCGGTCAAGTAAATTTTTTGACCGAAAAAAAAAAACATTAATTCGGTCAAATTCACTGACCAAAAATCAATTTCGACGGAAATAAATGGAAAAACCCATATAGTTCGGTCTCTATTTATTTCGGTCAATACAATTAACCAAATTAATTGCCTTCTAACATAACTCAGTCAAAAATTTTGACCGAAATTAATGGAGCAATTTATTCGGTCAAGCACAATGACCGAATAAATTCTCTAAATAACCACTCACGGTTAAACATTAATAAATAATTTATTATATTCATATTTTGGTCAACTATTTTGACCGAAAAAATGCTCACTAATCTGCAAACCCCAGTCATCAAAATCCCAAGTAAAAGAAAAATTTACCATGCTTATTTCGGTCAATCCATTTGACCGAAACAAGCATGGGAATTTTGCCATTGTGTGCTCTGCAAAATGCAGATTTTTGCATGCTCAGTTCGGTCAGTATAACTGACCGAAATAAGCATGCTTAATTTTGCCAGCTCCCCTCGCATGTGAAATCTACAGTTTTTCAGATTTTGCAGCTTGTTTCGGTCAAGCATACTGACCGAAACAAGCATGCAAGATCTAACTGCAGATATTCTAGCTTGTTTCGGTCAATATGCTTGACCGAAAGAAGCATGGTAGCTTTCCAACCCTACTACGCATGGGGAATCTACAATTTTGCACATTTTGCACATTTTTTCGGTCAAGCATATTGACCGAATAAAGCATACACAATCCAAGTCCCCTCCAGCACATGTGAAATCTGAACTTTTCAGATTTTGCAGCTTGTTTCAATCAATCTCATTGACCGAAACAAGCATGGAGAATCTGAGTGCAGATTTTCCAGCTTGTTTCGGTCAATGGGCTTGACCGAAACTAGCTGTAAAATCCCTTTTTTTTTTTTTGGTCGTGCTTCTTTCTGATTTGCGTGTAATATCTATCTTAGAAACTCATTCTCCTTCATTGCATTTTCACGTTTTAACTCTGCTTGTTCATGTTATCTCCTCTCAATTTCTCAATGTTCAAATCTCAACTTCTCAGTGTTCAAATTAATACAATGAACTGCTGCTTCTTAATTTTGTTTATATATAGTAGTTTTTGAGGGTTTTGATCTGATAAAGGTATAATTTTTTTCATCCTTCCTTTTTTTTCTTTGATTTTTCTTTTTTTATGACTTATTTTTTTGGTAATCCTCTGTTAATTGCAATACTCAATTTCTACATCATTTCTAGCGTGGGATTAGATGTAACTTCCTAATTTCAATTAAGGTTAGTTAAATTTTATCTATTTATTTTTTTTAATTTGTTACTTAATCTAAAATTTTTAATATTTTTAAACATGTCTATTCTTTTTTTTTAATCATAATTTCTATTTATATTAGTTTGGTTTTTATCTTATTTAATTTGTTAATTGATTTTGTTGCTGTTTTTTTAGGTGCATATGTTCCTCCAAAATCATTAATTTCCCTCTGAAGATTTGTCAATTACAAGTTTGGCCAAAATACAAGTATGTTGTATAAATGTTTTTTCTTTATTTTTTTGAAATTTAGTTTAGAGAAAGTTAAAAAATTGACGTGATATTAGTAATCAGTAAAGTATGATTAATTGATTAATTGATTGATTAAAAGAAAATATGTTTAAATTATGACTAATTGTTGATTAGTAAATATTGATTGAATAACTAAGTGTTGATTGATAGATTATAGTTATAATGACTAATTAACTTATTAATAAACTATGATTATATTTTGTAATTAATTAATATATTATTAATATATT